TGCACCATTTCTCAATAAAGGTGACCCATTGGGAGAAGTGCAGCCATAAAAATACCCGGAAGAGAAATTAAATGCTGTTTCAAATACAGATGCATTGTTCAGAAAGGGCAATCATGGCTGTTTTTTAAAGTATCTTAGAAATGCTTTATTCTCTTTTTTACTGAGTCTGTGCTTTTATTTTCTGTGACTTGCTTATTTGGCAAAGCCTTAATCTTTAAAACCGGTGAAAAGTAGAGAAAACGGTTAAGTTGTCCTGTAAGATTACCGGCACCACCTTTAGTGAATTTCAGTATCTGTGTGAAATCAAGAGTCCTCTCAAAGGGACAGACTGTCGTTTTAGAATCTCAGCATCCTTTACATATTAACAACCACATGTTTCTATCAGAGAGAAGGTTAAGTCGCCCCAAAGTTAGCACTAATAGACTCAGGCAGTCATTTGTTTAATCTCCTGCAGTATGTTTTAAATAACTTTTAACTTTTAACCATTTCCCTCAGTTCACTGTAGGATTTTGCATTCTATGTCTGTACTGACCTGTGGTATTTCGTTAGAATTTGTTGCAAAATAACACATTAATTCATCACAACACTACAACGTAACAGATTTTAAGTTATACAACTGCTGTAAAACATAAGCCTGAGGCAGATGGCTTGTGCTCTGTGCCTGTCGCTGATTACCTTGCAAGTTTGTCAGACAGAAGAAAATGCTGACGTATGTTCTCCACCAGGGGTCCCTTCAGCTCTTCGACAACTTTGAAAACACGTTTGAAGTTGTCGAACTGAAATTACACACACAATGCAAGAGATTTACTAATACTGAAAGAATCTGCTCCACAATCAGAAATCCCACCACAACTAATAAAATGTACCCAGAGCTATAAAACCAAATTAATTGTTGAAACCGGCAGACAACAGGAGCTCCGGCGTGGTTTGTTGTTTGTTTCAACGCTCAGCTGTATCCTACCATTCAATAACACACTGCCGGAGCTTTAAAATATCAATCTTTACAATGCACAGTGAAGACTTACCTGTCGTCTGCAGCTTTTTAGTGTCACACCTGTCTTGGCGCTGATGTCGTCCAAGTCTTTCTTTGTTCCCTTGGAGAGCTTCTTTCCCAGGACCTCACGAACAAATGTATCATCAAAGGCATAGTATCTAAACAAGGAAAGAGACATGAGGAATTGCCATGAGAGGAAATGCAGCATAAAGTAGGAGGTTTGACAAATAAATACAGGAATAAAGAGTTGTGACTCCTCTGAAATAAATGGGTTAATTTAATTATAGCATCATGGCCGCACCTCTCTATGAGCATGATTTGCCGATGAGGTGGGATCTGGAACAGCAGCTGGTTGGCTAGTTTGGCCGGACTGTGCAGCAGGCGCTCACACATCTGGAAAGTCCTGTACTGGTCCATGGTGTCACTCAGCAGGACATCTTTACTTGCCTCACACTCGTCCATCACTCCTCCCTCCATGCGTACCTTCACTGCATCGTTCACTGTTGGATAAATCACACAAGCGCAGTTCAAAGGGTTGATGAACCGATGATGCCTGAAGTTAAGTGTGAGAACACGAATGAACAATCACTGCTGTGCTGTGAATAATCAGCAGCCTGAAACAGCTGCTGCACCATATTTGGGCGTTAAACCCTGTATTTCCAATTTCTTTACCATATTTGATTCTTAAAGTTTACTTGTTCCTTAAATTAGTCTTATGATACTTAGAAGCCGACACGTGCGTGTGTTTAAACACTGCACCTGACCTGTAATCACCACACCTAACATGTGATCCTGCTAGGCGCACCCAGTAAACCCCGTTCCAAAGAGAGAACACCTACTGCTATGTTTAATACTGATGAGAATGGAAACAGTGGATGGATTCATGAGGAGGGTTTGGTGCATATTT